TTGCTGCTATTTGCTTTGAATCCAAACATACAAAGTTAAAAAAAATAGGACAAAATACATCTTGTAAAATAAATATCCTTAAAGCAATTAGTATCAGAGATCAATTGGCTTTTATGGAACACAAATGTAAACATACAAAACATTGTACACCAGTATGGTCAGATTCAACACAAAAATTCTTCTGCAGATGTAACCGTTTTATCAAACGTAACAATAAGCGATATCGTTTACACTGTAAAGACTATCATTTTGACAAATATTTATGACACAGGCCCGGAGTTCGGAAAAATTACGAAAATATTTATAAAAGATGAAGAAATATTTTTGAACCACGAATCATTGCGAAATATTGGTTTTAGTTTTTATTACTACGCATACAGTGTCATCAAAGATGAAAATATCAAAAATATTGAATATAATAATTAAGCATTCAAAACACTAAGCTGACTGTTTGTAAGAAAGGGAATATTATATGTAGTTACGGGACATAATATATAGCATGGAACAAAAAAATACTGTTTTTATTACAACATTTATTGTTTATTTTTTATAAGTTCATAATAAAATTTTTTTACTTTTTTCTACAAATTATTTAATCGCCTCACTACCTTTAGTACTCGAAGAGTTTTTCACGATTCTGACTTAAAGGAATCCTTTTTTTCCTTGTTCTGATATGCGGTAAATTGTCTTACAGCTTACTTAATTAAAACTACGAAATCAACTCACTGCAAGCTTGATAAGAGTATAATCACATACACTATCAAATATAAGCATTGCTAACAACTAAAATAGTCAATTAGTACAAAAAAATGTATACTGACATTCGATGTCATGCATTGACAATGTCAACTTTTTTTTGTGGAATTATACGTATATAATACAAGGTGCGCTTAAAGGACTTTGGTTATACACAGGCAAGTATACATGAACACACTGATGAAACACAAAAGCTAAAAGACTCTTCTGCATATGCGCTATTTTGCATTACTAGAAGACAATTCTTGGTAGGCGAAAAACACCTACCAGCCTCTATGAGGCACTGGCAGAATTCTGACTCGTTTGAGTAGGATACTAAGATATTTATAATGACTCATACATTAAAGCATAGGTTTAATACTGTCGTGATACAGGTGATATCCTTACCGCTAATTGAATAACTTATAACTGTTTGTGGTAGGGGATTTTTAACGAAAAAGGTCTTACCGTGTAGTGGACGTACAATGTTTAAATTTTTAAAGGAAATGTTCTCTTTGCTTGTAATTTTTTGGTAAGTATAATTCAATGTCTTTTTCTTTGACACTGCGCAGAAAACCTAAATGTATTCCAAGAGCTAAATTAAACCAAGAAAAAAGTTAGAAAAAATTTTTCTGCTCCTTATCAAAGACATAACAATGTTTATAAACAGAAAATATCAGGAATTTTTAAATATAAACAAACTCAATGAATGTCATGAAAAACCAAGTTAACCACTGATGTTTGAAAAAAAAATTTCATGCATATAATTAGTCTTACGTTTACATCACAAGTCTTACACTGTAACATCAGTTTTACCACAACTACTACAATTTCAGTAAATCTGAGAACCAAAGATTTAACCTATTTGACCGGCTTCGTTTAAAATGCTCTCCAGTTTTCATGAGTCTTAAAATCTAAAAATGTCGTTTGAAGCCTCGGTATTATTCTGTTATTATATCATCAAGGTTCGCTCTGAACAAAATTTAAATGTGACGTAGCAGTAGAGTTATATCAACTAATAGGTTTGCAATGATCACTGCATATGCTGATCAAACCTAGAGAAAAATTTAAATGTCGTATATATAAGTGTGTGTTTGTCATTTAAGTGCGCATGCTCAATTAAATTTGGATGGATTTCAATGTGTGATGCAGACTATCACAGTACTTGGGATGGACCTGATTTGTTTTTAAGATGCTCTCCAGGTTTGATGTATTTAAAAGTGCCATTTAAATCTTGGCTTTTTAAATTATTGTATCAACATATCATCAAGTTGTGTGCAAGTCTGCATCACACATTGAGGCCCATCCAAATTAAATTCAGTGGATGCATCCAAACATAAAATAAATACTTGTACACTATTTGGAGTGCGTTTGATACGTTTAAATTCTTCTTTAGGCTTGATACGTATGTAAATTAATTATTGAAAATAACTATTTGAAAAAATAATGTTTGAAAATAATTATGTAATATAAGACCATTGATATGTCACATTTCAATATTTTTCAGAGTGGTCACTGAGCTGTAAGAATTGATCAGTCTATACAGGGTCAAAAAAAGTATCTAAATTCATTCTGACTTTGATAAAAAATCAATCATAATAGAAATAAGTCTGATAGTCTTAAAACTTGTTTTTCGCTCTAATGCATCCACTAAACTAAATTTGGATAGATTAAAGTATGTGATGCACACAACTTGACAATATAATTATGTAATACCAAATGCCAAGTTTTAAATGATACTTTTAGGCTTATTAAACCTGGAGAACATTGTAAATCAATGAGATCCACTCCAAGTACTGTAAGAATCTGCATCATCTATTGTAATCTATATGAATTCAGTTAAGTAGAGTCATCAAAACAAATAACATAAATTTAAATACTATAAACATTCAACCTGTTTTTGCTATGATCGAGTTATTATTAGAGTAAAAATATAGACTAAGATAATCATTTTCCCCTAAAACAGATTAGCCAGATCTTGCCAGATTGCCTGAGATTGCCAGATCTTGATAGGTCCGTACGCTGATCATTAAAAACCTATTATGTGATACAAGTTCGTTTCTACATGTATGATTTCAATGTTTCAAAGCAAATACTGAGCTGCAAGAACTGGCCTCTATCCATTCGGACTTTGCCACTTATGCACTAAATACGTTTCGGTTATATGAAGTTTACGCTCTATGTACCTAAAAAAGGCATACAACCGTTTAACAAACAAACTCTAAACAGTAAATGCTATTAAATTAAACATTTCTTGAAAATTTCTCAAAACTTTCAGGTTACAATCGTATGTGTTACGAAGCCTCTATAATAAGAAAAATAACCTTACCATTAAAATCATTTAATAGATCTTTAGCACCCTAATTTTTCACAGTACTTGGTACGAAATAATCACTCACTTCAATTTAAAATTTCGCAATACTTTGATTTACTTATACAAATAACATCACAATAAGCTTAACACAAACAGCTTTCATAATTATTATATAATATGCTCACGCATTATAATGAGCTCCAACTTTCTCAGTTGTAACGTATTGTGCACCGAAGTTTTCGGTACTCATTACTTTATGCACTGGATTTTCCAGTGCACGCAGGGCAGATGAACGTTTTCCAGCACCTAGCCTTCCCATTCTCGAGCTGCACTGGAAATCTCCATGCGTCGCATAGTCTTTTATAGTTACTGCACATAATTTCATTGTGTACTTTTTCTTACACAAACAGTTACAGTTATTCTTGAGCTAAACAATCTTTCATCGTGCAAATATTTTGCATTTAGACTTTTAACGAGGTTTTCTCCTCAGCGTTTTGGTTGACAGGAACTAATTTATTTCGTTCCAACCACCCGCAGGTACAAGTTCCGACCGCCGCAGAGCCTCAAAACCATACAACCGCGAAAAGCTTGCCTCCATCTACCACCTAAAATACGCGCCCTAAGGCTGACTCCCATAGCCCAGAGACTATTATTATTAACGTTATGGATACTATTCTTAAAATAATGACCAATGTATGTTCATTAGTCCTTTAAATACATATAAACGTAGACTTATATTTGGCACTCAACCATGAACCTATAAATATATGATATCATATATTGATGCAAATTACAATCATTTATATAAATATGTTCTTTTATTTCACGAATACTTATATACTATGCAGATTCCCCGCATTAAACAGGTCGTATGAGGCTTTTCGTAGTTACCACACAGAAGAAGAACTCAGCTTTTAAAATATTAAAAAAAGACTCGTTCAAAATGTTTTAAGACCTAGTAAATGACTTTTTTTTACATTATGTTAAAATATGGTAAAAGTACAAGAAATGTGTTTACTTAAGTTTGAGATCATTGTGTAAGGCAAATAAATAGTCATGACAGTAGAACTTAAAGATATAGAAACAAAAAACTTCTTATAAATACTTTTGTAGCTGTTGGATTTGTACTTATATACCAAAAAAACTAAGAAGAATGTTTAAAAACCCAGTCTCTCAAAATTTCAAGTTCATTCTGGCTGTGAAATACTAGTTTAAGTTATACTTTTTATGATAACAGCAAAATATACATTAAAAATATAATTTTGAATATAACTGCTAGTCAATAATTAACCTCTGAGAATTATTTATAAACAACAATAATTTTCGTAAGCCTAATAACAAAAAAAAATTTCAAAAGATAAGGAGTCTTTGGCTTTTAAAAAAGCCCACAAAACTAAAAAAAAACACATTTTTACGTTAGCAGATCTCTATTCACACCTAGAGACGTAGAAATTTAGCTGAAAATGTTTTGAATCATGTTATTGCATGGTTAGTTCCAATTAAAAATCAAAATAAATGCAATGTTGACCCTTTTATCCTTATGTTGTCTTCAAAGCTATATAAAAAACAGTAATGGGTTTGGTTACAACAGCACTTAACTACAGTATTACAGTATATAGCTGCGTGCAAAACAGTCAGATTTAAAAACTATTTTACTTATAGAGCTTGGAATATTAATTAGATAAGAGACACCTACAGAGTGAAATTTTTTTAATTTACCTGAAAGTTTCCTAATAGTTCGTTTTTGTTTTAAAATAGTGTGTTACGGCCCCCCCTCAAAATATGAGATAGCTTGTAATTTAAAGTTTAGTAATTACTTATTATTGTTAAAGCAATCATAAATGCTTATTTTTCAGCATACATATGTTTTATTTTAACTATTGAGTTAATAAATTTTCAAATTAACTTAATGTAAAATTTTTGAAATCTAAGAAAAATTCAAAATACTTACGCGTATAACTTCTGGGCAAGCATAGTGGGGTGAGCCGCAACTAGTCTCTAACATCAAACCAGTTGGCTGTAACGATGCCATTCCAAAGTCTGCTATCTTTATGTTATTTTTTTCATCAAGTAACAAATTTTCTGGTTTCAAATCCCGATGACTAAGAAAAAATTTTTAAATGAATGATTTAACTTAAGCATACAAACTCAACACAAAAATTAAATACGATATTTGTTGGATATAACTCTTTTTTAATAAAAAGAAGTATAACATATTATTGCAAATGATACAAAAAATATTTTTAAGATCATCATTTACGATTATTGACTTCTCCTCCCTAGTCTTAAGTTTAAAACAAATCATACATAGCAACCCGACATAGTGTGAAAATGCGGAGGAAGGAACTAGTGTTGGCAGGGGCATTTAATTGAACGACGTGATCGCGAAATGATCAAATCAACAATTCCTCGTGTAAGTTCGGTCAATAAGGCCACTCCCGAGAGTGCAGAAAAGTACTGAAGTAGTTTGATTGAAGTAAGTTTAATAAGTCTATATTCTGTAAATTTAATATAAAAATTAGGAGATTAATTCTCTAGCTGTTGGTATTCTCATAGCATATCCATCATTTGTACGTTCGCACATCATATGAGGTGTCGTTCAGGGATCCATAGCTGGATTGGCAGCCAAAGATTAATCGGTGGTTGAATCCTGTCAAGTCTACAATCGTGGAAGCCACTCAAAAGATTGACAAACTTAAGTTAAGAGCAAAAACTAGGCCTGGCTGAATCTTCCGACAGCCGTAACTAAAAAGGTATTTACCGCTATATATTTTCGTGGGAATCGCACAGGAAAAGAGTGCAAAAAACAAAGAAAATGGCTTTTAGAAGTTGACCGAAGAGCTCACGCTCCTCCGTGGTTTAATTTGGGCGTCAATTCATCAACGGTCTGTGCTCTCTGCTTTTTAATACGGGGCGTATTCTGAGAAAGCATCGTCGGCTGTATCCCTAAGAGCTGAATTTTAAGCTTCTCCTATTAGTTCTAAGTCAGTTTTGTGAGATAATTTCGTTTCGTCAACTCATTTTAAGGACGTACCACTTTCACAAATATGTAGGGCGCAATTAAGAGCGTTTTTTTGTATTATTTGAACGTTTTTTCTTCTACATAAGTCTCTGTATCTTGCCGAGAACAGCTGGTGCCCGATAATTAATTTGTAAGAATTGTGCGCATAACGCTTGTTTAAGCAGCGTTTATCATTTTAAATTAATCTGTTCTAAATTTCCTATTTTTTAAAGATGTGAAAAGAAATAAAATAAAAGAATACAGACCTTTTGTGATACAAAACGTAGATATCACATTTTTTTTGTCATTTAATCATTCTGAAAGGTTTAAATCCTTACAAATTGCTCTCTACTCGTGGTTAACGGAGTGGCTTGTATAGTAGGGGCAGACATAGTGAGATAAATAATAGGACTATTTGTAAAATGTCGAGCGTAGAAGAGTTGAAGCGAGAGTTGGAAAGGGTCAAGACACAGGCAGGTCCAGCAATCTGCAAAAATCACCCATTGTTCGCAAAAGTAACTCAATTAACCAAGGATCGAAATAAGCTTAAAGTAGGTATTAAAAATGTAGTACATGGATACACTAAGGTCAACAAGTTCGAAGTAGAAACCCAAACAAATAAGCTAGCAAATTACAGTAGCATTGCGGGTCAAGGTGGGAAAAATATTAACACAAAGCTGATAGAAGGCATATTACAACATTTCGAATCACTAAAGGTGTCAATACCACTGGCTACTTTTAAGAGACACACAGAGAACCAGTAGAGTAACTCCCCTGGAACTTCCACTTGCTTGTTTTTAAAAAATTAAACATTGTTCAGGCTTATCATTGACAATAAAGCACCACTTGGCTTATCTTGAGCAAAAATTTTTTTATTTATTTGCTTGTCAATATTCCGTCTCATCCATGAGACTTTTTCAATACTGTTAATACATTAAAATAGATATTGGCTTATTGTACATAAAATATAAAATAAAATAAGGGTAAAGATACAATATGTATAGTACCTCTCACTTTTTTACGCAAAAACCTCACGCACTATAGACCAACAGTTTTATTTTATACACAAAGCATCTTATAAATAAAGGAGAAAACTATTTTAGTTATAAGCTGTAGGCAGACTGTTCACACCAATGAACAAACAGACAATAAAACTACAACGTACGCGGTCTTCATGCACATGCATACATTAGCGGTCAAGTTTGATTTCTTAGCTGTTAGTGAAACTTCTTTCTATTGATGTATAGTATAGGTGAACGTAAAAAATAATCATAATTTCTTTGATTCCTCTTTATAATTGATTTTGTTTAATACCTAGTATTTTGATGTTTTTTGTATTTATGTTAATATTAAAGTCAAAACTATCGTCATATTATTTTGCATGTAGAAAAAAGGTAGACTTTTAAGATTAATTTTTGTATTGTCTCTGAAGTTCTTCTAATGTGTTTGTACGTTTTCGTGAACTTGGGCCTACATAGATTTTGTTACATTTTAACATTAAGTTGGGTATACGACGTGTGTGTTTTGTCCTGTGTCTAAGGTTATATATCTTATCCTAGTGTTAAAGTTACAGATAATTTGTTGTTAATACAGTTTATTACACTAAAATTTTTCGATTTTCATAAATTATTGCATTTGGAAGCAATAATTAGGAGGTAAGGTACAATTATAAGTGGATTTTTGAGTTCTTAAATAAAAGTTTGTTGATTGCTATTACTATAATATGCAGACCAGGCTCAAACAGTGATGAACCGGGAAAAATTATTCGGACCCAACTTTTTTCTGCTTTCTTGTTCAAAATATCGTTATGTTACTAAAATTTTATCTTACCACCCATGAATGTGGTCAGGTAGTGTTTTAACAATTTTTTGTTAACAATTTCGTCAAAGTTGTTTTTTCGATCTCAAAAAAAATATTCTCAGATTCTTCGGCACGTGTAGATCAAAAAAATCAATTGAAATGTATGTACCTACACCAGACAGTTTTTAAGTAAAAATTCCCAAATCTTAAAAAAATGCGTTTTCTTTGATTTTCAGAGCTCCAGGACAGTGTTAAATTAACTTATTTTGACATGTTACAACACATAATCATAAACTGAGAGTCTTCTTCTACAATCTCTCAAAAAGAACATTTTTAAAATATGAGAGGCAAGATTGTTTCTTGCAATAAACGTTTAGGGCGTTTCAGCGCGCACTCCTATGTAAGTGTATAGTTATTGCAAGAGGGCACTTCTATCACCTAGAATTCATAATACACGCTTTACATTTATATTTATATTCTTCTATTTATTATATTTTCTTGTAATAAAAAATCCGTCTCAGGTAACACTTTCACTAACCGGTATCTACTTGGACTTTCGGTGCTCGACCGCTTTAAGCGTGGAGACGAGTCATCCCCAAGTAGTCGAGGCACTAGGGTTAGTGACCACGTTCTTAGGCAAAGTTCCTGGGTTGACGACTTGAGCAGTGCTCAAGACACCCAAGGGCCCTGAGAACGACCTAACCTTACGTGACTTGGNTATGACTTTATTGGTTTTGGAGGTCTCGCTCGGAAACATATATAACGCTAAACATACACTTTAATGACAGATCATTAAAAATTGAATACCATAAGAATCAGCTATAAATTTTCTTGTTAAACTTTAATAGTAACTATCCACGTATTTGCAGTTATTCATAAATTGACATTCATTTTTAAGCTCATCATTTCGTCCCTTGCCTCAAAGTAAGTAATAATATTTTTATCTTCCAAAATATTTATACTTATTGTCCCTCGGGGTTATTTCAAAAAGGGAACGAACTACAAAGAAATATAAAAATAAACTGAATACAGCTAGTCTTGCTCGTTTCAGTACTCAACAAGAAAGAGATACAGAATAAAAATTAAAATAGGTTTTTCCCCTTTTCCATTTTATTTGTCGTGCGTAATCTCAAATTGACTTACTTAATCAAGCTCAAATCACTCTATCAATAATAATTATAATAGAAAAAAGAGAGAATATCAATAATGTCTAATACGGGAAAGAAATAGACAACGCAGGGGATAATTTAAATGATACGTTTTCGATGACACAAGAAGATTCAGATACAGTGACGGTCATGTTTGAACACGACCCCGAATCGCTTGCACTCTGGAAAAAGATGTTAAAAATTCAAATTTAAGAGAAAGGGGACCAACAGTATAGAGGGAACTTAACAGTGATTTGGACGAGCAAAATAATCCCAGGAATGCATCTGAAGGTGCGAGAAGGAAGGAGCGAGATCAAACGCTAGTACAAACTAAACAGGGATCGGGGAATAAGAATCTCGTGAGACACGTTGACGGCGATAATGAATATAGATTCGGGGAAGGTGCGTATAAAACAGAACTAGAGCGTGGACAAGTACATTCCAAACAGCCCTGTGCCCCACTACCTGACTGGGCATTCCAACCCCTTTTTTACAACAATGCAAATAATAACAGTTTTTAATAATAAAAATAAAAGGTCGATGTTTAATTACGGTGGAAATAATTATTTTACATGCTCAAATGATGAAAGTTGGAATACCCTGTTTGAGTATTTGCTGGGTCAACCAACAAATCAGCAGAAGAAAAACAGATTATTAAAAGATAACACACAAGAATTCTTACAGCACCAAAACGCACGATTTTCCCCTTGTACGCATCAACGGTCGTCGGAAAACCAATCTTTCTTTATTATGAATTTTAATATTTTATCCCATCTGAACAGTGCAGTGAATGGCATACCACTATAAAACGGAGACCCAGTACAGTCTTCCTTAGAGCAAATGATTAGGATTACAAGATTAACAATTTCCGCTTAATATGAGAAATATTTGATAGGACTTTTAGGGAATAAATTACCGGGCATAGCGGCAGATCAGTTCCGCATGCAACTATTATAATTATTTAAAATATTGTATATAATCGGCAATCTGAGCAATTTCGCTCTTTTACACAGGGCAACGAACCCGCCCTCCGACATATAAACACTAACATTGTTTATGTTTTGGTTCCTAATCTTAGAGTTTCCTCGGTACAAATAATATTCTTAGCCGATTGTTACCACCACTAATTCACCGGGGTTATACTCAAAGAAAG